GCATCCTGCTCCTCTGCACCTCACCTTTTTATCATGCCACAGGAAGATTGTATGCCAGGGCTGCCAGGTGATAGGGTGACTTCCCGATCATAGTAGTTCTGGTAGGGCACCGGAGCTGCAGGAGGCAAGCCTTTGAGGCCCATGATGGCCAAGGGGAGGGCAGGAAGGACCTCTGCCACCTGATACCCAAATCTGTCCCCATCCAGAGGTCCAGAAAGGGCCCCACTTTTCCATCCTGGCCCTGGCCTGCCCTTGTGCTTGGGGAGTAGACCTCTCTCACTTCCTTGATAGACCCCACCCTGGGCACCACGGAGACTGAATATTCTGGACTCATAATTTAGTGGGACCAAACAGGCTGGGGTAGGGGCTCTGAAGAGGCTCTCCACCTCCACTCCCCCTTCTGAGTATTATAGTGTTATTAAGTTCTGCTCATCCTCTGCCTTAGGAAACTATACTGTCCTTTATCCCTCCCTGGGATCTCTCTACATCTCCTCCACCCAGAAAGGACCTGCAAGCCACCCCAGCCCTGTCCTGTCAACTGAGGCTCAGAGAACCAGGGCCAGGCTTCCCAGAGACAGATAGTCCAAGGCCTGTGGGGCTTGGCCTTACCTGGGGGCTCAGTGCCTGTGCTCTTGGCCTGGATGAAGCCATTTATGTCTGCTTCCACACTGCAACCTTCCAGTGTCATCCGCACCTCCTCGTAGAGCTGAAGGTGGAAAAGAACAGAGGCTGAGGGGCCTGGTCTCACCTCAGTGCCCACCCTCATCAAAGCCCTGTTTCTCTATGACTTTGTACTCTGGCCAGGGGCTTCTACCACACCAGCCTCCTCACAGGCCTTGTATGCACAGCTCAGTGCCTGTATTCAGGGGTTCTTGGGGTATATCTCCCCCAGGTCTTCCTGAGGGGTCAGAGTGCTGGCTGACAGCATCTCCTGGTTCCTGAGCACCTCCTATGCACAAGATCCTATACAAGGGCCTTAACTCACTCTTGCCCTCTGTGGTATATCCTATTTCCCCCATTTTAGAGATTAGGAAACTCAGAGAAGGAAAGTGACTTCCCAGGTATCACAGAGCAAGAAGAATTCAGTGCAACTGGGCTTTGTTCCAGTATACAGGATCTGGTGCCCACCCTCCTTCCTCGGCCACAGGAGGCACCAGATGGGTTCAAGTCATTTGTTTGGGGGGACCCAAAACCTCTCAGCCCATGGGCAGAGGGGTCAGGCAAAGAACAGCAGTGAGCATCAGGGAGTCAAGGCTGCCTTAAGAGAGTTCATGGCTCTGGGGCTACATTAATAGCAGTCAGAGACTCTGGTAGGAAGGTAGTCGCCCCTTTCTGCTGGATGGGGCCCACCTCAATCACCCAGCATGCATAGATAGCTCAGTAAGGGAACCAGGACACCTAAGAGATATCTGGGTGACAGAAAAGGGACTGGACCTCAGTTCCTGCAAATGCTAGGCCTGGAACAGAGCAGGCCAGGGTTCTCCAGCCTCTCTGCAGACTTCTGAGGAGAAGTGTCCACCTGTCTTCCCAACCAGGGCAGAGGGAGCACATACTCTGAGAGTAGAGCCAAGACTCTGGAATAGAAGGCAGATGCCAGGGTAACCACTTCCAGGCAGAGAGGCAACACAACCCTGTGCAATACTGAGTTCCCTGTCCTTGGGGCCCCGGGGGACAGAGGCTGAGGCATTTGTTGACAGACTCAGATGGACCAGAGCATGCTATTGCCCAGAAGCTACCCTCTCTTTACCCCCCTCCCCTACCAACTCACTCCATACCCCTCCCCACCCTTGGCCCCCCAACCTCATCATCCTTGACGCACTGCATGGAGAGCTGGTTGCAGTGCACCCATAGGGCATTTCGGAGGATGGTCAGCCTGTCAAACTCTTGCAGCTGGAAGGCCTGGGTTGTGGGTGGGGAGGGAGATGAGAAGTGAGAAGGGAGCTGCAGAGCCAGGCCAGGCTGGGCCCCACTCACAGCTCAGCTGGCCTGACAAGCTAGACCCTCTGCTGAAAGCCAAATCTAAAGGAAAGATCCTTGCTGGGGGTCCCCACTCCCACATCTGTGCCAGCACCTCAGGCTTCTGGGAGGGAGGTTGTATTGCTTGTGGGGTTCTTTCCTCCACCCTCCCTCCAGGCTCCACCACACACTGGAAAGGCCCTAGGAGGATATAGTGAGAGGAGCAGTCCTGCATCCTGTTTCCCAGGTCCTGTTCACCAGTGGTGCCCAGGGAAGCTATAGGTTTTGTCTGAGCCCCAGTTTTGGCTTCAACAAAAAGGGGTGAAGGATACCTGCCTGAAACAAAGGGACACAAGGCACAAAGCCAGGCAGTGAGCTCCCTGGGAGCAGGGACGAGGAAGTGAGTATATGAGTGAATGAGTGAAGGAGTGAGGCCTTTTCCCCACCCCACTGCCTTATGTTCCCCCATGAAGTGGCTAGAGCAGGGATGAATGTCTTTTCTATTTTGTAGCTGGGGAAACTGAGGCCCGGGTTTACTCACCTCACAGGTGGTTTGGTGCTCCTGCTCCCACTCGCCCCTCACCTTCTCCAGCTGCTCAATGTTCTGCCTGTATACCCGCTCTAGAAGCACAGGTAGCCCTCAGGGAGGCCAGCAGCCTAGACACCCACCACCACTGCTCACCCCTTTGCTCCCCCAGTGCCCCTGCTCAGAGTGCCCTCTTCCCCAGAGAGACCTGCTCTGGCTGCTACCTCATCTGGACACTTTTCAGGGCCACCCACTGTGGTACTGCTCCTTTTGGGGTGACTCTTAGCTCCCTGTTGTGCTCTGAGTTGCCAAAGTCTGGACTAGAGCCCATATACCCAAAGTCAGAGTCCAGGCCTCGCCATACCTGGGTCCCACCCTCTCACTTTCCAGATGGAAAACTGAGGGCAGCACTGAAGGAGAGTAGAGGGGAGTATGGTAGCTGTTGGGCTGGAGACCCAGCAGGCTTGGTCATGACCACTGTCCCCAGAACTCTGGGGTTCACATGTCCCCAGCCATGGGAGCAGCTAGGTCTTGGGAAAGGCAGAGGGGAAGAGAGATTCTTCCCAGGAGAAGTGAGCAGGGTGAGCTTTCTGCCCTAAGAAGTATGCTGGCAGACAAGGGGTGTTGGGGTTATGGCATCAGATGAAGGACAGAGGAGACAGGCCCAAAGGAAGCTGTGTGTGTGTGTGTGTGTGTGTGTGTGTGTGTGTGAGAGAGAGAGAGAGAGAGAGAGAGAGAGAGAGAGAGAGCGTGCAGAGGAGCAAGAGAAGGAGGGGAGGGGAGGGAAGGGGTGGGGAGAGAAAAGAAGAGGAGAGGGAGAGAGAGATGAGTAGGTCTGTCTGCTGTGATGGTGGCTGTGAAAGTCCTGGGCTCTAGAGCCAGATGGCCTGGGTTGGAATGCAGTCACCACCACTTATTGACTGTGTGACCTTGGGCAAATTACTTAACCTCTCTGTGTCTCAGTTTCCTCATCTATTAAAAAGGGAATAATAATAGTCACTTTACAGGGTTGTTGTGCAAATTAGTTAAAACATGCAGAGCACCATGAATAGTCTTGGCAAATGAGAGAAAATGAATGTTTTTATTTTACTTGCATAAGTATGGAAGTGAGAGTGATGAGCTTGTGATGCTGCATAGTCAGGTGTGAGTGTATACATCCCTGGGGTAGGAAAGTGTGCAGTGTGGGGAAGGTCTGTCCAGTCCTCCATCCAGGTCTAAGGAGGCAGGTGGACCACATACCTGCCTCCATGGCTGAGTCCTTGCACTGCTTGGCTTTGTTCTGACTCTGAGGAGGCAAAGGAAAAGTGCTGAGCCCCTGCCCTGGAGACCACCTGGCCCCAGCTTAGGGCTTCCAGTCTCCCTGGGTGACTCCGAAGTGCCTCTGTCACACCCTTCTCCGACCACCCAGGGGGACACTCAGGAGCTAACTATGAGCAAGTTCCATCATTTACTTCAGCTTTACCCCACAAAGGATCACAATAAAAAAAGTCCCAATAAAAAGAAATAAAAACAGAAACTTTCAGCCCATGCAGAAGAAATACATGAAAACTAGATGTCAGTCAAGACATAGAGGGAGAAATGTAGACCAGGAGCCAGGACCTGAGGCTCCATGTGGCCAGTACTGAACCTTCTGGTTGAGCCTTGGGCTCTGGCCCCCAACTTGCTGCCCACAATTCACCCTCAGGCCCCTGCCCTCTCTGGGCCTTAGCTTTCCTGTATATGTAATAGGCAAAAGGTGTTCCTGGGCCCTGGTAGCTCTGACATCCCCACCCTGGCCCAGAGTCCAGAGCAGTCACAAGCTTGGCCTCTGGATAACCTAGGTTTGGATCCTTTCTCTGTTGCTTCCTGGCTCTGGGACCTTGGACAAGTCACTCACCATCACTGGGACTCAGTTTTCTTTTTGTGACATGGGCCCACTGAGCCCCTCCCCAAGGGTTATATGAGGGTTAGCATCTGCTGTCATTGCCCTGTGAGCTCTGGGCCTGGGCTGCAGAGGGCCTGCTCTGCAGAATGGGTCCTTGGGTGTAGCCTGGAGATGGCAAAGAGGATCAAGCTGACCCTGTCAGTTCATGCTCTGAGATTCTAGGATACCCATTTCACAGATGGGAATATGAGGTTCAGAGAGGGGTGGGCAGCTAGCATGTCCCAGATGCAGAACTTGCCTGATGTTGTTAAGGCACCCCTTTCCTGTCTTACTTACCCTGCCCCAGCCCTGGGTGACAAGATATAGCCTCAGTGGACTCACACACCTTTTCCACCTGCTTCTGTTGGCCATTGGTGCTAATGCGCTCGAAGGCCTGCTCGGCATCATCTGCGTCCCGGCACTTCTGCTCATATGTCTTCTTGGACTGGGGGTATGCAGGGGTGTCACTGGCAGGGGCCCAGAGTGAGGCTCCCTGAACCCAGCCTCCCTTCTTCCTGTTGGGGGCTGTGGGTGGAGTGGGGGCCTCCTCACCAGGGACAGGGATCTAGAGGTCCAGAATGGAGAGGGAGAGGGAGTCTTCTTGTTCCCGGGCCCCTTCCCACTGGGGACATTGTAGCCCTGCCCAAGCCCCCAGCCTTTGTAGAGGAGAGGTCACATTAAACCACCAGCAAGTCCCTGAAAAATACCATGCATCCTCATGATGCTAGCCTCTGCACATGATGCCCCCTCTTGTGAAGCCTTTTTCTCCTCACCCAGAGTCCTAGGGGACACAGCTCAGGAGTCCCTTCTCCCTCCACCCTTGGAGTTGAAGCTGACAGCATAGATCACCCTGTGGGCCACTGTCTGGGACTGACCACCTACCCATCAGTCAAAAGTCCCTCATGGATAGGGCCTGGGCAGCTTTGAGCACGTGCATATTGCTGGATGATCTGAGGCAAGACCTGTCCCAGGTACCCATCCCAGGTCTCCTGGGGTCCACACCTTGGGCTCTGCATCCCTCATGGCCCAAGAGTCTTTCACTCACCTCCATGGCCTTCTTGTAGAGTGACAGCTTGCTCTTCTGGACACGGTCCATGACGGCCTCATACTGCAGGGGACATGAAGCTCTTAGTGGGGGGCTGTGGCCTCTGGATGCTCCCCTAGGCCAAGAGGATGGGGTTTCCGTGGAATGAGGTACAGTATCTCCCCCCCTGCTCTGAAGAGGGTAGTGACAAGATGTCCTCACTTTCCTACAGCTTGTTCTTTCACAATTGCTGCTCAGAGCAGAAAGCCCAGGGCATGTATGTGTATGCCCATTGTGTCCTCTCATTGGCTGCAGACTCTAGCTGGAGAATATCCAACTTACACGTGTGCACACACACACACACACACACTACACACACACTACACACAGGCCCCGCTGCTCCCACTTGCACACACAGGCCTTCATGCACACACAGAGTACGCATAGATACCATGCACAAGTATACACAAGCACATTCCCATGTTCCCTATGCACAGCCACAGGCCTATTCACACAGGTGAACACACACTAAACTTACACTGCCCCACACAGGTACAGAGGCCATGCACCCTGACCTCTCCTTCAAAGCACCTTGTTCAGATAGGACAAAACTCAGCCTAGACAGAGATTGGATATAAGCTCTGAGAAGAATCGGAAATGAAATGACCCTCATGTTGAAAATGGAGCCATTTTGTCTCTAGGGTCACAGTAGGGACAGTGGAGAGAACTCAGGCAAGACACCTGGTCACACACAGGCACACTGAGACTCATGCACATGCTCAAAGGCATGCACACATTTGTGCCCACATTCTCCGCACACACATGTACACACACTCACAGACATATGCACACACACGCCCAGGCAAGCTTCCCCCCACACTACATCACAGCTCTCGACTTGTGGAGGTCCTGGCCGATCTGAAGAAGGTGTTGGTCTGTTAAAAACAAGCTTTTGCAAACATACAGCCCCTCTGGCCACAGTTGAGCTTAAAATAGCCAGCCTGGGACCTTGCTGTCACAGCAGGTGCTCTGCATGCTCTATAGGCAAGTCCCCGCTCAGAGAGGTCACCTGCTTCAGCACCTTAAGGCAGGGCAGGTTTCTGGAGCTAGCTTTGGGGACCAATTGACTGCTCAGGAATGCAAATTTAGAATTCCGAAAGCCTGAGACCCTGGCTGGCTGGGTGGGCAGACGGAGTGCAGTCACACTGACTTTCTGTGGTCCGAGTCACTGATTGGAGCCAGTGTCCTGTTTGTGAAGATTGATGGGGGCCTGGTTCTGGACTGGGTCCCCAAAGCTTAGGAAGTAGGCATAAGTGTCCTGTCCTGCAAGAAGGAAACTGAGGCACAGAGAGGGGAAGCAGCTTGGCCAGGACATCCAAGCCCAGCCTGGCCCAGCAATGAGCTGGCACCCTCTTCTTCACAGCTCGGTTGTATGGACTTTTTTATTTTCAATTCTTTGGATATTTCACAAGAATACTTCATCTTCAAGTAAGATGTGTTACTGTGTGCTGACATCTTTCTCCCTGTCCAGAGCACCACCCTCATCACTAAGACCCTAGAGGCTGAGCATGTATCGTCATCTGTCCTCCCAGCAGGCCATATGCTCAGCTAATCAGTCTCAGGCTTAGGAGGGGGCTCTGGGACACAGAGGTCAACAAGCCCACTTCCCACCCCATCACTGCAGCTTCCCTGATACATAGTCTTCAACCACTTGCTTGCACACCTCCCATGATGGAAGCCTCACTTCCTTTCCATGCAATTCCTCCATCTAGGGATAGCCATGCTCTACATATGGGTGAGAAGTATCTTTGGATGCTGAAGTAAACATGCAGGCTCTGTTTGTGCCCTCAGCCTTGGGGAGCCCTCAAGAGTGACCAGTGACTGGCTCCATGTCTGCCTTTCTCCTGGAAAAACAGCCTGGATCCTTGGGGTCAGGACCAGTTTCTGATGACTCCCCAATTTAGTTTTCTTTCTTTGGATAGCTCCAAGCTGTCACTACCCCTCTACAGTCTGTGGTAGGATGGTCAACAAGATCTATATCTTCCCCTCTTCCTGACATGAGACAACTCATGGAAGGACCCCCAGGGGGGCTTCCAGGTCTGTGAGCTGAGCCCCTTCCCTTCTTCAAATCACCCTCACCCCCAAACCTGGGGTACTGCCCCCATACTCCATGGGCTCCATAAGGAGGGTCCATCTTCTACCACCTTCACAGTGACGATGGCCACCTCACACTTGGGGTCTTAGTGACAGGGGAGCACTCCAGCACCCTCCTCACCTTTTTCCTCTGCTCCTTCTGCCTCTCGCGAAACTCCTCAAGGCTGCGGAGCTCCTCACGCAGGGCCAGGGCCAGCTGTATGTGGGAGCTGCCCACGTCCTCCATTTCTGAGGGCAGAGTATGGACGCTGATCTCCCACATCAGACCCGATGGGCATCAGCCACCCAAACATTCACCCCACCTAGGCCAGCCCCTGTCATCCCAAATCCTGTTAGTCTCACAGGCCTGTGTGCAGCCTGAGCTCCTCTCCTGGCCAGAATCCATCCACCGCTGTCTATGTTCCCAGAAGGTCCTGTCACCCTACAGCTTGGGGTGGGAGACAGTTGGGACTTACGCTGCTTCAGGGAGTCAAAGGATGCCCTCAGGGAGCTGCAAAACAGAGAATCCAGGGTCAGCAGGAGGATAACGCAGTAGAACCTGAAGTCCCACCTGGCCCCAGGGACTTTATTTTGGTGGGAAGGCCCTAGGTCACCCACATACACTGACCTGGACCCAAGGGAGCTAGGATTTCTAGAAGGCAAAGCTCTCTCTCTGGAAACTATAAAACAATCAAACATCCTCACTGTGGCAGAATTCCTCCTGGGTTCTGCATGTTCTCAGGGCCCCTTCCCTCCTTCCTTGGACCCCTCCTCTAGCTGAGGTGGATGAAGGCAGGGTTCAGACCTGGATTTAGGCAGGTGGCCTGGAGGATATTTTGGAGGAAGCTGGATGGGAGGGGGCAAGCAGGGCAGGGGTAGAGGAGGGGAGAAATATGGGGGCCTTAGGACAGGGAGAACAGGATGTGCAGGTGAGAACAGTGGGAAGCTATCCCTGTCCCCTGGCTGGTGTGGCTGGGTGGATAGTGGTGACACCTCTGAGGGGACCCAGGAGGGAAGGTGAGGGATTTACTTTATGGTGTGCTGAGCTTGGGTGCCTGAGGGAAGCCAGCAGGAGTCATGAGGCAGCAGGGTGGGCAGCAGGGAGAGCAGGAAGGGAAGAGGCTGGCGCTGGGCATGGAAGGTAGGGGAAGATGCCAGAGGGTAGGGTTGCCAGATGGAGCAAATAAAAATAGAAGACAACAGTTAAATTTAAAGTTTAGATTAAACAACTAATACTTTTTGAGTATAAGTGTTTCCCATTAATATTTGAACATACTTACATTTTAAAAGTATTTGTTGTTTATCTGAAATCCAAACTTAGCTGGGCATTCTGCATTTTATCTGGTAGCCCTGCTGAGGGGGCTCTTCCCTCCAACCATGAACCATGTTGAGGCCTGAGCAAAGGGGTGGGAGCCCAGCCAGGACCTAATTCTTTCTGCTGATAGATAATTGGGCACCATGAGGCAGAGTGCTCTTTGAGTCAGAAACAGCCCCGACGGGCAGAGTGCCTTTCCCTCGCCCATCAGCTCTCAGGGATAGGGGTCTCTCAGAGGGGTGAGCTCCCTCTTCTGTGCAGGGAAGAGGTGATTTGGAATCCCAACATAGGAGACCAGCAGGACCCGGATAGGGGCTCCTGCTCTGGGCTGCCATATACAGACCCTGGAGCCAGACAACCTGGGTTCAGTACAGGCTCTGCCACTCATTCTCTATGTGACCTTCAGCAAGGTACTTACTCTCTCTGTGTTTCAGTTCCCCTTTTGTAAAATGGGGATAATAATAGCACAAACAGGAGTGTTGTGAGGATTAAATTAATTTATATGTACAAAGCACCTCTGTTGGGATCTGGTTGTTGTGCAACCCTTTCCTGAGCTCTCACTTGCATACCCCACCAGTCCTTGGGATCCCACAGGCCCCTGAACCTACCATGAGCTGTACCTCCAGTGTTCTACCTAAGAGTTTACCCACACTCTCTGCCTGTGCTTGTAGCCTCCTAATGAAGAGGCAAAATACATAGTGGCTTTCCCTGCACCAGGATGCCTGAGGAGCAGCAGTGAGTCGAGGCAGATAGGGAAACTGAGGCCAGAGCACAGCCAGGTTTGTTGGGATCACACAGAGGCAACAGCAACATGTTCTGTCACTGGATGCATTCCACCGCCTCTGCCCTTGGCCCAGGTGACTCTCTGTAGTTGTCGGCGCCCCTCACAGGCTTTCTGCAGAGCAATGCGCCATCCCCTGGGACAACCCAGGGCTCCTGCCATCTTGCCTGCATCTCCTAGCAATCTGTGCAAAGCAAACTTCCAGGGGACTCCTTCCTCCCATTGGAAGTTAGGGAAACTGAGGACAAGCAGAAGCAGCAACCTGGCAGGACCCTCAGGAATCTAGGCCTAGAGGAGAACTGTGGGAGTCTAATTAATACCAGACCCCTTTCCCTAAACTAAGTGGATTTCAAAATGTGGTCCACACATTAGCAGCATCAGGAGCATATGGGAGTTGGAAATGCAGATTCTTAGGCTCCACCCCAGTCCTAAAGTAGAAACTCACAGTGGGGCCCAGCATACTATGTTAAGCCTCAGGTGCTGCTGATGTCCATTCAAATGTGAGAGCTGCTAGCCTAAATTATTCACTCCTCACAACTCTCCCCAGGGGAGTGGCCTTAAATTCTGATCTTGTGGAGGATTCGGAGACTGTTTGAAGTCTTTCTTTGCCCCATGAGACCAAGCAAAGATGGTTTCTCTTCACTTTTCTATCATTCCTGGGTTCTTCCCCCTTGCCATTCAGAAAAACTGTTACCAAGATCTCCTTGAGCTCTCCTCTATTGTATCTCCACTGCAAATCAAGGACAGGAACCCCATGCAGACCTCTACCCTCTGCTATCAGTCACTGCTATCCTTATGTGTGTCTCATCCAGTTGCCCCTTTTGACTTGGCTTTCAGGATGCTCAACCTGAAATTCTGTGCTCAAACACAGCTTACATTTCCAGTGTAAATGTTTTCTTTTGTACCCTCCCTACCATGTGGCATGCACCACCTCAGGTCCCTGCTTTGGCCTCCCTACCCCTGGCCCACCTGCTCACCAGGAGGCTGTTGCCTCCCAGCTGACAGGAGTAGCTCCCCTCACCTCCCTGTGCTGGAGCCTGTGACTGAAGTGAGCTGGTGTCAGATGACCCCTTCTGGTAACAGGGCCCCCTATCTCCCTCCAACATCCTTAGTGATGTCTTCATTCTCTGAGCTCAGAGGAAGAAAAATTATGGGAAAAAAACACAAATAAAAAACCTCTCCTAATAGGGAAACTACAGCATTTTAGGCTATGACAAGTAGGGTGATGTGGGCATGTAAGAGTGTATAGATTTAAGTCCATCCTCCTTCAGGGTCTGTCCTTGCTTGAGGTAACCACAGAGGGGCTCACAGGAAATTGGCCCCCGCCCTGCCCACCTTGATTCCCCTTCATTTCCTGAACTCCTGCCCTGTACAGCTTTGTTGGGAGGGGATATTTCCGCCAGAGCTCAAAAGTGTGGGTAGGACTGGGCAGGGAGGAAATGGGGGGCAACAGTCAGAAAAAGGGCCTGGAAGTTGGAAGGGCGAGTAAAGGTGAGCTTTCTGTAGGGCTGGATGTGTGGTTTAAGCAATAGTGAAGACCCCTTCCTAATGCTGTCTTTAAAATGCATTGAGAGGGCTTGCGGGGATCTCTTGAGTGTGGGGACCAGGTCTTATTTGTGCATTCTCCATTGCCACTGCCCAGCGGATGTTTGCTGAGTTAATGTGTAAAAGAGGTGAATGAGAAAAATCATTTGAAAACAGAAGTAACCTCCCTTTAATATATGTGGCTGAGCCTCCAGGCCCCTGTGAGGTTTCTGGCCAGCCTGAGGTCAGAGCTGATGCAGAAACGCTACATCTTCAGGCAACAGAGGAGAGGGAGGCTGATTAGCCCTGCCCTTTTGGCTATCGCTGGGCTATTTCTAGGGTCACTTAACCTCCTGGCTTTGTCGTCTCTGTTTGCCCCCACCCATCCTGTACATCCCCAGCCCTCTGCCTGACCTCCAAGGAGCTGAGAATGAGCATCCTATGGGACCTGGGGATCTTGGCCATGGGGAGGCTGGGGGCTCCCCCTGCAGGAGGAGATGTCAGCCCCCATGCTAAACAGTCAGGCCACCTTTCCCAAAGGGGCCAACCCCAAATATACCCTACAAGTGTCCACAACATAGAAGTGACCCAGGCTTCCCACAAAAATCCCTCCAGGTTGGTGGGGGAATGGAATGACCTGGTCTAAGCCAAGACCCGGACACTTAGGCAAAGCTAGTGTCTGAGAGAACTTCCTGGGAGACAGGCATAAGAGGGAGGATGAAATCACCTCAGTGTGCTAGACTCTGGCTTCAGGATGATAGGGCTCTTTAATTTATTTATTTTTAAAATTTTGAATCCCTCTGACTCAGAGTAGGGCATGGAACATAGTAGGTGCTCCATACATGCTTGCTGAATAAATGATGGGTACTTGGTCCACAGTTAGAGAAGTGAATAACTAAATGGTCTCAGTAAACCTACTACATGCCACATGAGTCAACAGCAACACTTATTTAGAACCTATTGTGTCCTGGGAGCTACATGGGGCATGGCTCTAAGGGAGGCAGCCCGTGAGCTGCTTCTGTCATTCACTGGCTTTGAATGTGCCCTGTACTTTCCCACCTCCAGCTTTTGTCCATGCCAGTCCTTTGGAAGAAAGGTGCTTTCCCTCCATCTCTGAATCTCCCATGAGGTGTCCTCCCCAGTTCACCCTGCTCTGCCCTGCTCCTCTTGTTACCCCAGGTTGGTGGAAAGCTCAAGCAGTGCTGGTTCTCACACTACTTCCAGCCTGCTCTGAAACCTCCATGGCTGGGCTGTAGAGGCCCCTGCAAGTTTTGTTTCTGCCTCTCTTGCTGCAGGTTAGGCACACCTAACCCAGGCTCCAGCTCTTCCTGGTGGGCAACAAGGCAGACCCAGACTCTGTTCCCTACCCCAGGCTGGGGCTCCCATGTTGGATGAAGACTGCCCCTCCAGGGGCTCACAGGGGTGAACAGTTTCCACCATTCTGGGCCACAAAGGGGCTGGACCCCAAAGGAAATGGTCAAGGCTGTTTAGTCAGGCTTCTCAGCCCCAAACTAAGCAGGGTGATCCCAATTATCTGACTTATGGAGAGGCCTGTGAAATTGTAAAGACCCCGTGTTTACTAAACGTCTTGTGGTTGCTGCTCTCTGCTCAACATTGTGACTGCCCAGAGCAAATCGTAAAGGTGACTGTCCCCTTTCATAGTTTAGAACCCTGGACGCAGAGAGGGGTAGTGACCATCCCAGGGTCATTCAGTATATAGGGCAGGGCAGACCTTGCCCCACTCAGCCTCCTGTGCTCACACAGGGGATCAGGGCTGCCCAGAACATTGCGCCGGCCCCTTCATAGTTCTAAAAACCAGACAAGATATTGGATGCCTCTTCATCCTTCCCACTAACCCCCTGGCTCCACTCCCATTTTATGCTCTTCCTTAGTGGCTTCTTCTTCACTGTTTTAAATCCCCTGTGACTCACAGCTCCTTAGCCTGGGTTCCCATCATGGCCCTGCCTGGAGCACCCTCTCCAACTCCTCGAAGGAGGTAGTTTCTCTTTCAGGGAAAGTTTTCCTGGCCTAGGAGTCAGGCAGGGACTCCTCCTTGGTCATGCTCCCTCAACTGGATCAGGCAAAGAAGGGCCCCAGCAGACTCCATTCATTCCTCACCATATCCTGAACCCTCTTCTGTGTCCAGCCTGTAACTAGCCTTGGCTCTGCCCCTGGAAGGCCCTCAGCCCATGTTCCTGTTGATCTTCACAATAGCCCACTAGAGTGGGCAGATGAGAACCAGACTCAGAGAGGACTAGAGCTCATGAATTCTTAGTCTGCATTCATGCTCTTTAGTCCAATGCAGGAACTGAGCTTTCATCTCCCCTGGCTCATACCATTTTAAAACCTTCCTTTAGCTCTTTGAATGTTTTCTCTGGATCCAGGTGGGAAGCAGCAACCAGCTAGCATCCCCTGGGTCTTTAGAAGACCTAGAGAGTGTTCAGGGCCCTGAAATAAGAGGATCTGGTTCCAGGCTTTGGAGCTTTCGGGGCCACTTTCCTTGGGCAGAGCCAGACACTCAAAGGCTTGATTTCCATGGAGCAGGCGCAAGAATCAGGGGTTGCTATGGCAGCTGCAGGCTAGGGTCAGATCTTGGGGCTCCTGGATAGGAGAAGAAGGACTCATCAGAGCCCTTTTAGAACTTGGAGTCCAGCACTCTGTCTGCCTTTCAGGCTGGCTCGGTGATCACCCAGCAGGAGAATCCGCATCTTCCCAAGGTAGCCCCTCCACTCCACTCTTCGAAAGTTCTCCTTCAGCCATCCTCAAATCGTTACTCTTTCCCCATCTGCTCCCCTGCCCAGCATTCTGCACACAGAGACCCAGGTCTCAAGGCTCAAGAAGACTGGCTGCTTCACAGCACCAGCTGCCTTTATTGCCTCACCTCCTAGGCCTGAGCTGAGCCCCTGGACTCCTTTAATCTTTTGAGGAATGTTGCAATATTGTCCTGCCTCACCTGTGAGGAAATGGAGGCACAGAGAGTGTCAGTGACCAGCCCAAGATGACACAGCTGGTAGGTGAGAAGCGGTACTAGAATGCATATGTATCCTCACCTTGCAGCCTAGGCTGAGTGAATGCTGTAGGGGGCTGGGCAGTGAGTAGAAGGCCTGTCACCTGCCCCTCAGGGCTCTCAGGACTTTGGGGGAGGCTGCCCAGGTTGTACGGACTGTGTTCCAAGTATCTGAGGACAGATGGCTCCTGCCCAGGGCCTTCCTGCCACTCAGACCACTGGAGTTTCTCCCATACACAGAATCCGATTTTTCAATACCCAAGAGAGTTGTCCTTTAGGCACCCCTGCCCTGGGAGCCAGCTAGACCCTCCCTGGCCCTTCCCGGTCCATACTAAACCCTGTCTAAATGCCCGGAAAGTGCCTGGGACTTCTTACTTGATCTCTGTCTGACCGCCTGCTTTCCGGGCAATTTGCACCAGCTCCTTCCCGTACCGTTCCTCAGCTTGGGCCCTGCAAAAACAAAGCATGGGCACTGTATCTCCTCCAGTCCTGCTGGCCATGGCCCCCTCAAATGTCTGCAGATACCTCAAAAGTCTGCAACAGGACCCTGGAAGCCACTCTCTCAGCATCTGGGGGAAGGCTGGCCCTCCAGGCTCCTCCTTGAGAAAGTTAAGCCCCCAGCCCTTTCTCTAGATAAATGTTGGTCAAATGCAGGTATATCTCAAAGGACTTCATATTATTTGCTCACTTGGGGAAGGCCCATGTCTGGGGAAACACAGGAGAGCCACACTCATGACTCTTTTTTTTGAAAAAGGAAAATAACTTTAATGTATAAAGTGTTCTATAAAATAATAAAGGAAATGGCAATACTATTTAAGAAAACTGGCCCAAGTTTCTCAATATTTTTAATGTGCCCATATTATTTTCAATATCAGCAAAAATGGTTATTTTCTTTTTAAATTTTTATTGTTGACACTATTACAGATGTCCCCCATTTTCCCTGCCCTTTGCCCACCGCCGCCCATCTTAGCCTTCACCACACTGTTGTCTGTGTCTAGGGGCTATACTTTATATGTTCTTTGGCTAATCTCTTCACTTTCTTTTATCCAGGCCCCCACACCCCCTCTGTCCTGACAGCAACTTGGCTGGGATGGGCAGCCTTAGCCATTTTCCAGAGCTGGGTGAAGGGTGGCCTCCCTCCCTTGCCTGCCCTCACCTACCCTGTCAGTGCTCACCTCTGCCTCAGCAGCTCCTCCATGTCCTTGCACATCTTCCTGCCATCCAGCAGCCGCTGCAGCAGCACCTCATAGCCGGTGTGGGCTGTGAAGTCCCTGCACTGTCACAAAGAACAGAGGGATGTATGAGGGCCACACTGGGCAGTGCTGAGTGGGGAGCTCAGCTTGGCAAGTACCCTTCTGACCACCTCCTCATCTGCCTCCATCTCCCTCATTCAAAGGCAAGCTCTTAAGATTCAGGATCTGGCTTTACACAGGCACACAGGCACCGCCCCATATGTGGAGGCACCAGGTGCATAAGTGAGACCTACCTGGTATCAGAGCTTACAGTCCAGGAGACATCAACTCCTCAACACAGGATAGCCATGGGAAGGGCCACCACCAAGACCTGTGATGACAGCCTTTATAGGGTCCCCTGTACTGCTCACTCCTGTCATTGTTTCAATAACCCTATTATCTTAGCTGTGTAAGTATGAAAACTGAGGCACAGATGGGTGAAGTGTGCCCAGAGTGACACAGCTTGAAAGCTGTCTGGGTCAAGTCTATGCTCTTCACCTCTACATTGTATGGTCTCTGCACTATATGTGTTCTCTGTGTGGGTTCAAGTAATCCTCCCATGCCTACCATGTCTGGGAGAGATGGCATGGAGCTGAGCAGAGAACTCTGACTGGAGTCCAGCCCTGCAGCAGGACACTCTCCTCTTCCTTCCCAGCCCCATGTCCAGGGAACCCCTCTGTCCTTATTCCCAGAGTAGAAACAGAAGCAAAAATCAAAGCTACATTGGCCATTCTGGAGGAGGCAGAAGGCAGCCAGAAAGGGCCCTGCAGGCTGGGTCCCTAGGACCTCATGTTCTCAGAGTGCCACAGGATCTAGAATCTTGTTCATCCTCTGCTCAGAGCCATGGTGGTGCTAGCAGGAGCTGCAGTTCAATAAGCTACCATCACAAGTGACTAGCCTTTTCCAGGGAAGTACCTGATTCTCTGGGAGCTGCAACCTCCCCCAGACTGCACCCTCACCCCAGCCACCTTCTCAAGGGGGTGAGTTCTGATTCATTGCTTGGATATGGGCAGTATACTGTTGAAGAAATGAATGAACCAATCATCCAATCAATTAATCAGTTGGTTCTCCAGCACAAGACCGAGCACCAGATCACCCCCTTGAGATGTACCCTGACTTTCTCTTCTTGCACCCACCCAGCTTCACCCTCTAAATACCAAGAGCTCCCTACTGGTCCCCCTCATTTATGGGCTCATGCTGACATTTCCACAATGCCAAAGCTACCAAAAGGAAGTCCTCTCACTTCTTTCTGTGCACCTACTGCCTCTGTCACCTGAAACCTGCCCATGGCTTTGCCCTTTGTGAAATTGCTATTTGTGGAGTCCATCTGCCACACACTGCATCAAGAATATCACAGCCATTATCCAATTGAAAATACATACCCAAGGAAGTAAAGATGGTGAGGAGGAGGCCCAAAGAGGGAAGATACTGCTCAAGGTCACTCACCTGGTAAACGTCAGAGAATCTGGAATATGAACTCAGGTTGGCCAGTTCCCAAAGCCACATACCTATACCAGTCATTCATTAAACATCCCATCAACTGTTTTTTAAAATTTTGAAACTTCAAAAAAATTATTTAAAAAATAACTTTTGAAAATGATTATTCAAATTCTTTCCACCTCAAATCAAAGCTGTACTTCAGGCTATCATTCAGTTGAGGACTGCTGCCTTGGAGAAGGGCTGTGCTGGCTTTGAAGATTAAGTACTGACAACCAGCAAGCAGCCAGAAGCCCCACAATGGGGCATCTAGGGTAACCCACCTTGGGGTAGGGTGCTGGGTGGCCAACAGATGCAATTCTCTCCTTTGAGAGGCTTGCTCAAACCAGATATAGGATTGCAGGTCTTGCCACCTATAAAGCGTGGCCACTCTGGGCCTCACTTTCCCCCCGGAGGGACTAGATCAGGGATGCAGGCTCTCTCTCAAGGCTCCAGGAGGAGGTACTCAGGAAAGCTATAGGCAAGAGAAAGCATATTCCTGCTTCAGCCTCAAGGCAGTGTGGGGAAGGCCTGTGTTCCCGTTTTGTCCAGGGACAGCCTATATCTGCTTCCCACTCTAGGTGGATCTGGGTGTGAGCCATTGTTCAGGCCTGGAGCAGGCTATGGCCCTGCCATGACCCTACTGGATAGGTAGAGAAACATTTTCTGTACCTACCATCACTTACTCCTTTCCTGCCCATATCACTTTTTTTTTTTTTTTTAATTATCTTTATTGTAGAAAGTATTATAAATGTCCCCTTTTTTCCCCATTAATCCCCTCGACTCTGCATGCGCCCCTCCACCAGGCCTTCACTACACAATTGTCTGTGTCCATGAGTTATGCATATAAGTTCTTTGATTAATCCCCAACCACTCCCCCACCCCCGCCTTCCCTCTGAGATCCCTCAGTCTGTTCCATGCTTCTATGTCTCTGGATCTATTTTGATTATCAGTTTATTTTGTTCATTAGATTCCACATATGAGTGAGATCATGTAAAACTGAATCAGGAAAAATCAGAAAACCTGAATAGGCCAATAACAACTGATGAAATTGAAGCAGCAGTCAAAAAACTCCCAGCAATTAAAAGCCCTGGTCTGAACAGCTTCACAGAGGAGCTTTACTAGGCATTCTTGGTACTTCGTATTACAGCAGTTCCTTTAACATTTCTTGCAAAGCTAGTTTGGTGGTGATAAACTCCTTTAGCCTTTTTTTTTGCCTGGGGAGCTCTTTATATCACCATCTATTTTGAAGGATAGCCTTGCTGGATAGAGTACTCTTGGTTTCAGATCCTTGTTTTGCATTACCTTGAATACTTCATGCTATTCCCTTCTGGCCTTTAGAGTTTCTGATAAGAAGTCAGCTGACAGCCTTATGGGAGCTCCTTTGTAGGTAACAGATTGCTTTTCTCTTGCTGCCTTTAAGATTCTCTCTTTGTCTTGCATTTTTGGCATTTTAATTATGATGTATCTGGGCGTGGTCCTCTTTGGGTTCTTTTTGCTTGGGATTTTCTGTGCCTCCTGAACTTGTGTGACTTTTGCCTTCACCAGGTTTCTGCCATTATTTCTTCAAACAGGTTCTCTAACCCTTGCTTACTTTCGACCTCTTCTGGCACTCCTATGATGCAAATATTGTTACCTTTCATGTTGACACACAGCTCCCTTAAGCTTTCCTCCTGTTTTTCAATTGTTTTTTCTTTTTGGTTGTCTCATTGATTTTTTTTCTATCCTGCCTTCTAATTCACTGATCCAGTCCTTGGCTTCCTCTAATTTGCTGTTTATTCCTTCCACTGTGTTCTTTATTGCTGCTATGTCATTCTTCATTTCCAACTGGTCTTTTTTCATAGTTTCTGTATCTTTTCTCATGATGTTGAGCATCCTTGTAATCATTATTCTGATCTCTATATCTGATAAATTTTTTATCTCCATTGCATTTAGTTCTTCTTCTGGAGAATTCTCTTATTCTTTCATTTGGGGCTTGTTTTTTAGTCTTCCCATTTTGGCTGCCTGTTTGGGTTTGTTTCTATGTATTAGGTGGATATGCTACAAGTCCCAGTCTTTTTGGAGGGTCTCTGGTGCAAGCCAGTGTCAGATGCTGTTTGTGACTGGCCCTGAGTACAGTGTTTGGAGCCTTCAGCAATCCACAGCTTGTGGCTCTCTGCTGAGGCTGTGTGTGTTTGGAAAGGACCAAGATGTGCACCAAGATCTGCTTTTCCTAGCCCTGGGCCCAGAAGCAGATCAGGCAAAGGCTCAAAGCATCCAGAGTTCAACCTCCACCTGCAGGCTAATTGATATTCTAAGTCTCTTAATGAGCCTCAGGCTATAGACCACAGCAAGGCATAAACTCCACAGGGTGGGGCTTGAGGTTTTCCAACAGGGTGGGGTAATTGCTTCTCCCCCTCAGGCAAAAGTTGCCTAGATAGTAAAGGTCTACCTGAGAAAGATGTTCCCTGCAGTACGGGGGAATGACTCAGCACAGGAATCGGAACTCTATCCCCAGAGCTCCCAATCCTAGATTCTCCTCACACCACTCCAGTCCACTCTGCCCTCTCTCTGCTGGAGCCCAAGGTGAGTGGCTGCACATGAAACTTTGTGCATTGGCCCTTTAAGAAGGTGCCTGCATTTCCAGCTGCCTCTCCCTGGCAGACAGAAACCTGCTTCCTTTTCATGGCCATATGTTATGTGGGCACCTTATGTGGGCACCTTATGTGGGCCAAATGTTATGTGAGCCCAGCTTGGGGCTTAGACCCAAGGGTCCTCAGTGGGAATACCCCACAGCTGAGATATCCCTCTGGAACTTTAGCTGCTGCCTGTGGGAGCCCAGCCAGCCCTCTCATGCCTCCACACTTCCTACCAGTCTCTATGCAGTCTCCACTTTGCAGTCTTGGTTATAAGGATTCTCTCCATCTAGTTTTCAGTTGATTATTCAAGATGGTTTTTCTATATTTTAGTTTAATTTGTTTGGTCCTGGGAGGGTGTCAATGTAGCTTCCACTTAATCTGCCACCATCTTGGAATCTCACCCATATCACTCTTGGTGGCTCCAGGGACCAGGGCCCTGAGTAAGCCGCTTCCTTTCTTGGAACCTGGTTTCCTCATTGAGGAAATGGGGACAGAGGTCATTCTCTCTCCTGGCCCTGACAGCCATCCCTCTAGGGCATAACCCCATCAGGATAGACAATGGCTGCCAAGTCAGGGAGGGTGCCCAGGCCTGGTCTGAGAGACTGGACAGAGTTCAGCAGACTAGATATGGATTCACACCTCATCTGGTGACCCTGGTAGTTCTCAGCTTCTACTCCTCCATGTGTAAAAATGGGCCTAATAGTTCCTACCACGTAGGATTGATCTGAGAATCCAGTGAAATCATGTGTATAGTGATAGTGACCAGAACTTGCCTTGAGGCAGGTACTGAGTTAAGGATGATTATCCCCATTTAATAGCTGAGGACAAGGGAACCCAGAGGTTACCTAAACTGTTCGGGGAACTGCAGGGCACAGTTGAGATTTGAACCCAGCTCTCACAGACCAAGATCTTGGCTCTTAACCTCCCATTTCTTCACCTCTCTGCAAAGC